ACATTTATGACAACCGACATAAAAGGATAGGAAGCTGCTTTTTATTTTCATTTTTGGTATTCCATTCAGTCATTACTCTACAGGGAATAAAATTGTCACCTAATCCTACTGTTCAGATTAGCTACATAAACATTTTTATGATCTGTGTACTTGTCAAGCTGCTTTATCTGCTTTAATCATTGCACAAGCATTCCTGGAATGATGTCATATTTGTTTTCAGTTTGCAGAATTTTCATTCATGTTTTGCTTTTAAAATATGAAGAAGATGTGTCTCAAATACATATACATGCATAATGGCTTGATAATTAGTGTTCCAGTCCACTGTTTTTCCAATGGATTTTTAAGATTGTTGTTGTATTTCAGACATCGAGCTAGCTATGTGTCTTTATTTATGTGTGCGTATGAAATTTACACTTCAGGATAAAACAAAATAACTGGAGAAATCAGTGCAAGGACACAGATTTAAAAACCTTTGCAAAGGTAGGGCGGGTTTGTCACTCTTCATATTCATTTTTATCAATTTAACAAACCCTCAAGATAATTGGGTTTAAAATGCAAATAGAAAAGCAAAATGCCAGTTTACTAAGGGAGGGCTTAAAGATATAGCTGGTTTTGTCCAAAGGTCACAATCACATCTTCTGTGGTTTTGTTTTGTTTTTTTTTCAATCAAATGCTACAGCAGAAAAATGTGTGTTTCTTTCCTCTGGGATAATTTGAAGTCCAGTAGTACTGCAACAAACGCACCTTTCCAGATGTTTCGCAGTCTATATGAGAAGCATGTTGAAGGGGTTCCCAACTGGGACTGATGTGATAATTCAGTTGCACAGACAATGCATGTTAGGCCAACATGCTAAAAGTAGTAAGCCAGTCTTCCTCTAAAGCATGGTTCCTCAAGCTCTGGCCCGGGGGCTGGGTCCAGCCGCCATGCCCATTTATCCTGCCCACCATGCCCATTTGGACCCACTGGGCATGCATCCACGCCCACGCGCGTGCCTGCCGCAGCCCACCTCGCCCCGCACACAGAGAGGTAGCCGTTTGCTTGTTCACAGAAAATGATCTCCAAGTGAGCAACCCGCTGCCTCGCACGCCTGCCTCGTGGCACATGCCTGCCCCTGCCGGCGCCTCACCTCGCTACATGCGCCCCGCCTCAGCATGCGCACCCCCACGTGCCACCCCAGCCCCTGAGCCAGCCCGCGCGCACCACTGGCACCACCTTTCTGGCCCACACCCAGCACCAGCAGCTTTCAACTGGCCCCCTGGTGTAAAAGTTTGAGGACCCCTGCTCTAAAGGAATGGGCAGTTGCTTGGGGAGACATTAGTCTCTCTCTCTCTCTCTGTCTCTCTCTCTGTCTCTCTCTCTCTCTCTCTGTTTCACATATGCACATGCCCACACACAACCTCTAGGTGTGCTAAATGAACCAAGAGGCTGATCAGGGACCTCTTCATGGATCTCTCATATTAACTTTGAACTTTACTACTTAATGTTGGTTGATGCTTGGCAGTGAGGCAAGACCTCTGTGTGCTTGTGTGTGCGTAGAATTCTTTTCCTTTGATTTGCAGTCTTTGCATTTTCAACCAGTTCTTACATCACTTATTTATTTGACCTCTATCCTGGCTTTTTCTTACAAAGAACACAAAGTGACTTGCATCATTCTCATCCTCCTGTTCCCAGTCTTATCTCTACAGCAACAACCCTGTGAGGTAGGTTGCACTGAGGGCCTGTGGCTGGCCCAACATCACTGAGTGGCTCCATCCACCCAGTTTACCTGAGTCCGAGCCCCACGCTCTTAACCATGGTACAACACTGGCTCTCTTACATGCACCCCCAAATAAATAAAACCTTGGTTGTACAAAATAAATAAGTACATACCAGTCAAAGCTGAGAACAAGGGTCCAGTTCACATGAATACAGGACAAGAGGCCATGTTAGAAAGGACCCTTTGTTTTGGGTAATGGACACTATGCCACAAGTTTCTGGGTAACTATTCCTTTCACTTTGCCGTCCACTTTGTTCATTGCCTGTGACAAGAAGGAAAGCTTATTCATTTTTCATTTCATTGAATGGCATTTCCAAAGCTCAATTAGTGCCTTCCTTGTCTCCTGAATAGCCACTGTGAGAAGCCCTGCTTGAAGATGTTAGTGCATAATGAACCAATTAAAAACATAGATGTGTGGAGACTGGGAAATTGTTTAGTTGGCTCACAAGGTCCCTAGCTCCATACTCTGCTTCCCAAGGATGTTAGGAAATACAGCAAGATTGTGATGTGTTTCAAGTATTACATCAGAAATTGGGTTTCTGGTTGGATTATGAGTCAGAAGAGATTTCAGCAGCCTGTTCTTAGGAAGGTGGAGAACAGAGGAAGTTGAAGTGGCTGATTTTTGTCCAAGCGTGCACCTAAGTCTCATTTCTTTATTGATGCCCATGAGCTCCACAGCGGCAGCAAGGAGCAGTAGCTCGGTAACCTTCATGGCAAACATTTGAACCTGAGTTTCCCACAGCCAAACTCTATATGCTAAATGCTGAGCCATGCTGCAAGCTACAGATGCTGTATCACAGCTAAGTAAAACAGGCCCATGAAGGTCTTGCAGAAAGATGAGGAAGATTCTTAATATTTCATTTCTGTACAGGCTGATAGCCAGAGCTGTCTAGACAGTTCACAAGAAACATAAAACACAATGTACAAATACAATCAAATAGCAGAGAAATACATATTTCTTCCAAACCACAACTCCCCACCAAAAAATAAACATCGAGAACAATTTTAGTACAACTAGATATGTTAAAGTTGCTGACATAAATGCTGCTTCATGCCACTAAATACCCTTCAATGCCATTGAATGATTTAGAAAATAACAATTTCAAACAAGGAGCATTTGACATAGAACGTGAAGTTCAAAGGGAGGACCCTGTGTCCATGATGTTTAAGTTGATATTATGTGGGCAGGACTGGTGATTTAGAGCTTCCAGTTGCTATTGTCAAATTCAGTTCTCCCTGTGTAATCTGGAAAGTACAGTAAAAATAGAGAAGTGCTAAACTTGTTTCCTTATTATCAAAGAATTTCCACTGTCCTGAAGTATGATGTCAGATATCCGTGGAAACTCCGCAAAGTGCCTTGGTTATCCACAATGTTTCCGGGCAAGTTCTGAATACATGTGTGTGCGGTTTGTGCCCTAAAACAAAAACATCCGTGTCTCTGTTCCTTTCCTTTTGCTTGTGCAAGTTTCTGTGCTAGCTGCTGGTCTTGAATGGCTCCTCTGTCACTGTGCATGATTCACAATTATCACATCGTATTTGCATCCCACCTGTTTCTTCTTTTGAGCAGCCCAAGGTGACTTGTATGGCTCCATTTTATCCTCACAGCGACAACCCTGTGAGGTAGCTTGGGCTGAGAGCGAGTCACTGATCCAAAGTCACCATGTGAGCCTCACGGCCAACCAGGGACTGGATCCTGGAGCACCCTGGTCCCCAGTCCAGCACTAACCACCAGACCACACTGGCCATTGGTTTGCAGGACCAGCAACCGAATTGACAGTCTCCTCCCTTCTGCACAATTTCCCAAAAGCATCCCACATTGGTAGAAGGGAAATTAAAGGGGTTAATTTCACCTCATCCATGAAGGAGTTGTACAGGAGAGGGGGCTTCCTCAGCTGATTGGGATAAGGCTGGGACACTTTGCATACAATTTATTAAAGTCATATTAAAAAGAGAGCTGCTATAAGAGTCCCCCCCCCCCCCGGCCCGGCCACTGCCACATTATATGGGATTACACTGAGAGTTGGGAGATGCTCCTTTCTGTGGAGGTGAAACTGAATCTGAGAAAGAGCTTCAACAGGCTTGTCAAATTCAGCTCTACAGAGAAAATTCTTCCCAGAAATAACTGCTGAAATGAGGGCAGGGGCTCATCAGCTTCTTTGCTTCTCTTTGCTGTCTTTGTCCATAGATCAGTTTTAGGGGTGGGTGAACAGAAGGCTGCTCACCCTGAAATTCTGTGCCATTCCCCCAAATAGTGCTAGGGAGAAGACAGGAATAACAAGTGTGAGGTAATTTGGGCCTTTTCCGAGAATTAACCACACCTGGAAACCACTGGCTGAGCTTCTGCAACTGCCTGCAACCCCATCCTGGCTCCAAAGTCACCGTTCCCCCTTGGGGAGCAAGGCAGCCTGGCACAGGTGCTGAGTACATGAGCCGGACTGGATTATTTATTTATTTTGTTTATTTAGGAAGCTTCTATGCCGCCCCATTCGCCGAAACCTCGGGGCGGCTCACATCAAGAAATAAATAATCACAAGATAAAAACAATATAATTTGAGTCGACCTGGCCAAGGATATAAAATAAATAAATAATATTAACAATTAAATTAACAATTAAAATGACGTTTAAATAAAAAGGTCTTCACCTGGCACTGAAAAACGAATAACGACGGCGCCAGGCGGACCTCTCTGGGGAGCGCATTCCATAGATTGGGCGCCACTGCAGAGAAAGCCCTCCTCCGAGTACTTCCCCTCCTAATGTCCTTCACGGAGGGTTCCCGGAGAAGGGCCTCTCCTGCTGATCTCAAGGGGCAGGCGGGCACATATGGACGTAAGCGCTCCTTCAGGTAACCAGGACCCAATCCATTAAGGGCTTTATAGGTCATCACCAACACCTTGAATTGGGCCCAGACTTCAATGGGGAGCCAGTGAAGCTGACGGAGAACTGGAGTCATGTGAACTTAACGCCCAGTCCCCGTCAGCAGCCTGGCTGCTCTATTTTGAACCAATTGAAGTATCTGGACCGTCTTCAAGGGCAGCCCCATGTAGAGCGCGTTACAGAAGTCAAGTCGGGAAGTCACCAACGCGTGTGTCACTGTCGCCAGGCAGTCGTTCTCCAGGTAGGGGCGCAGCTGATGGATCAGCTGAAGAAAAGCACTCCTTGCCACTGCTGTCACCTGAGCTTCCAGTAAAAGCTCTGGGTCGAGGAGCACTCCCAAGCTGCGGACCTTGTCCCTAAGAGGGAGTGCAATCCCATTCAGGACTAGGTTCAGGTCCCCTGCTTGCAGAAGTGAAGCAGAAATGTGCAGCTAAGCAATTTGCTCCACTTGTTTCTCACAACACCTCCAATAATTTTCCTTTAGCAAAGATTTTACCCATTCATATCATCTTCCTCCGAGATATTAAGTGGGATAGAAACAAATATGAAAGAGCATTTTTCTATACCAGTGGGTTTCTGGTAGCATTCACCAACCAGGTCTCCTCCCAGATGTGTTGGAATACAGCTCCCTTGACCAGAGTTGTAGCCAGCACATCTGGAAGGTACCAAACTGGGCAAACTGGGCTAAGATGACCTTGTTGAGAACAGAACCTGCATTTTACTGCATCATCTCAAGGTAGAACTTTTCACGTGCATTAAACATATCTGTTATCTTGCAGATTTTCATGCAGCTGATACTAAGATGCTGTTATGTTGTTGTTATGAATATTTTTGTAGCATCTCTAAAAAACAGGAACCATTTATTTATTCAACTTATTTATACTCTGTGTTTCAATGAGTCCATTTTCAGGGCAGCTTACAAAACTGAGGGGGGGAAATCACAACTGTTAAATTAAAAGGTAGGTAAAACAGCTATACAAACCAAAGCAGGTTAAAATAGCAAGTTGAGGCTGGAACCAGAGTCACACATGGCTTGGCAAGAGGGCTGGAAAAATGCCTGATGCGTGGTCACCCACATGCCTTAAAATTCTTGAACATTTCAGTACTGGCACTTAGGAGTGACAGCTTTTCTCTAGTCTCAATTATCAGTGGAATATTTGAAAAAAATGCACCCCTATTTTGGATTCAAAATACAGAAGCGTCCAAAAGAATCGCTGCACTCTTGTGATTGATGTTACACTAGCGGTAATGATCACTTGTGCAATGTCAGTAGTGCTTGCTAGTGCAACAGGATTCCACTAGCTCATGGGTGGGCAACTTCAGAGGGTCTGGGAGTTACTTTGACACACCCTCTTAGTTGCTGCTGCAGGTAACAATCCTGCCATTGTCTGGCTGCCAAATTAGGCAGTAGCCATGCCAAAAACAAAAGGAAAAAATGGCAATTTGCTAACTATGAAGCAGTAAAATTTAGACTACCCCTGGGCAACCATAGCACAGTATATATACACTGTAGGATCTAACTCAACAGAAATCAACTTAGTCTTCCTAAATTATGCATTAGGGAAGAGGGCTTCCAGAATCAGAAGACTGCTGGTGCCATTATCAGAAAGAATTAGATGTTGCTTGAATTAGGGGGAATTGGGGCCTTCACAGGAATTCATAAATTATTGTTTGTATTCCATTGCATTCATTTCCTATTTTTCCTCCTTTTGTAAGGAACTAAAGGTGACTTCCATGGTTCCGTTTTATCATAACCCTGCGAGACAGGCTGGGCTGAGAATGAGTGACTGACCTGAAGTCACCCAGAACGTTCATGGCAGAGCAGGGATTAGAATCCGCATCTCCAGGGTCCCAGTGCAACACCCTGACAACCATCCCACACTGGCACTGTATACTATAAATACACATTTACACTATAAATGTTCCCTGCACAATAAGACCCAGGAGGTTTTCAGCCTGCCCCCCTTCCCCCCAGTTGTTTCATGTTGCAAGTGAACGAACGATCACAGCAGGAATTATCACAGGACGGCAGCACGCCAGAACAAAAGGTCAGTTCTTCTCGCTGCCTTGGTGCTGATGCATCTCGTGGAACTGAATTCCATCGTTAACTATGTGCTGTGGGGAAAAAATACCTCATGCTACTCAGATTCTGCTATTTATCCTTTAGCAGAATGTTCCTTCCTCTCCTCCTCAGCAGCACTGTTGTTTTTAAATACTAGTAAACTTCTGGAATTATGGCAAACGGTGTGTCAGAAGGGCACTTTCACTGTGTTTCATCACATTTTTGTGACTTTGGCATTATGATGGTGTCATCTATATGATGTATGTTATACCAAGGCTGTCAGCAGCCCCTGAGCTCTTTGTGAGGAAGGGCTGGATATAAATCAAAGAAGTCTATTTTGGTGTCCAGGGAAAATTTTGCTTCCTGCCCCTGCTGACTCTACCCAGTCAAGAGCAAGCTCGTTCCTACCTGCAGAATTGCACCCCTTTCTTCTGCTTCCCCTTGGGTTACTAGAGCATGGTGGAAGTTTTGGAGGTGACTTTTAGCTCTACTTCAAAAGGTACTGTTAGCTATCACTTGCTTCAGCCTAGGAAAATTCTGATGGACTTTGCATTTGAGTCTGAACACTTCCTGCTTTGAGACACATCAATTGCTTAGATTCCATTCAGGGATTCTCTTTTATTTGGCTGTGTATTCTTTTTCCTAACAGGTGTCATAACTTCCCAGTGGTGGAGTAGGCAATGGGCAAGCTCATTTTGGATCCCTGCACTCTCCCTAGCCTGGCACTTTCCAGATGTGTTGGACTACAACTCCTATTGGTCCAAACAATGCAGACAATGTCCACACTGGCCGGGTATGGTGGGAATTTGGCTACCATATATGTGGGAGTGGTTGTCCGACACATCCAGCGGCTGCCAGATTGGGAAGGCTGTCCTTCCCAAGTATGCTTGCAGCCAGTAGGATGGGTACAGCATCAGTGGTATCATGGCAAATGGGGGGGGGGCGCTGAGCTATCTATTTGTGGTTTTCCATGTTCACCTCTAGACTCCAGATGAAACAGAACTTTGCAGTAAGACCTTGTGACAAATCAAGTATCTGAGCAGCTCTTTCACACGAGAGGCTGTATAACTTCTGCAGGCGTGTTCCTTTCGGCTTGGCTGGAGCTTTCATGGCCCTGGATGGGAATGAATGGAAAACGTGAACAAGGCAGTGGCAAACAGTCAGCAAAAAACAGAGGTCACATTCCCTCTGTTCATTCACTGGTGGCTTTCAAACTTTGTTCTGGGGAACGATGAAAGTTAATATGGGATGTCTCAGTGACCTGCCTGCCTCTCTCAGTACTGGGCTGTCATGTGCCACTGATGGTGCAATGATTGGGAGCAGAGCCGTAGCTTGATGGGGGAGCCCAGGCTTGCATGTAGAATGGCCCAGATTCAGTTGATGGCCAGGAAAGGCAAGCCCTGGAAAGCTGCTGCCCACCAGTGTAGGGCATACTGGGCTAGGTGGATCGATGGACTGCCCCAGAATAAGGCAACTTCCTGTGCATGTCTGTTCACGGCAGTGTGGGATGTGCCCTGCATTGACAATCATTTGCAGACTCATTGACAAAAGCCACCCAGCCATCCCTGCAGGCCTGCCAAGCCAACCCCGTGCATTCGCTGCCGAAACAGCACTGCCTGGCGTTTCTGTTGCTAGCACTGGTGCCAGGTGGGTTGTGTACCCCTGACTTCCACAGGGAAACAGTGAGGCCTGGCCAGTGCCTTATGTGAGCTGTGTGTGAACCCTAGAACTTTATTCCAGTTGGAAAAGGTTCCTAATTGATGGGGCAACATGGAAAGGGTTTCCTGACGATGCAGTCAGGAAAACCATATACCAATAGCAAGGAGTAAGTGCCCTTCAGAGCAGACATCTGCAAATAAGAGACCCTCTGTTGGAAGAGTGACCATAGGTCAGTGGGAGAACATATAGGAGCCAGCTTCTATCCCTGGCCTCTCACTTCCATAAAAAAGTGTAGGCAGCTGGTGACATGACAAGTTGATGCTCAGAGCCCAGAGAAACTGTTGCTAGCCAGAGGAGACAGTGGGTTGGGTGCCAATTTGACCTGGATCAATTGCACTGCTGGAAGTGGACTTGCCTACTCCTCTCCTGACCGTTCCTCAGGCCCCCTGGAATGCAGCAGAATCAGGAAGCTCCGCTGCATGGGGTAACCCAAAATGTGTCCAGGGGAGAGGGAAAACCTCCCCAAATTGGGTGGAGAGGCCTTCCACGAGAGGAGGCCTTCCTCTCACAGGAGGTCCCTGCCTGTGGCAGAAGGGAGATCCAGCGCACTACGGGAAAAGGATCTAGATAGGAAAATGGTCTGAGTGGGTGTCACACAGCTTTCTATGTTCTAGGTCTCCCACAGGATTGAGCCAAGCCATGCACTGGGAGCTGCGCCAGCTGTGCAGTATGAACTGAGTGCATTCCAGCTCTGATCAGATTGTAGTCATGGGAGCAAGAGCCACTTGTGCAGGGCCCCCAATTTGTTCTGCAAAGGTGCCATTCCTCTTCTGACCATCTGCTAAGTGTGACAAGGTCTGAGGACAGAGTAGATGGAACCAGATATATTTGGGGCAAGCCCTGCATATGAAGTTCCACGTCCCTCTTTCCAGGAGGCCTCTCCTCTCCTTAGGGTGGCCCCTGACATATCACCAAGAGGCAAGAAATCGTAGAATAGCAGAGTTGGAAGGGGCCAAGAAAGCCTTCAGGTCTAACCCTGAAGGTCTAACCCGAGGCTTATGCGAATGGGGCGGCATATAAGTTTTCCAAATGAATGAATGACCCCCTGCTCCTGCAGGACACCCAGTTACACCAGCCCACTCCGCGACTGGCCAGTTTGATCTTGAATGCCTCTCATGTGGGAGAGCCCACCACCTCTCTAGGCAGCTGGTTGCACTGTCATATTGCTCTGCCAGTTAGGAAATTTTTCCTGTTATCTAGACTGAATTCTGATTTGTTGCAACTTGAATTCATTATTCTGTGTTCTGCACTCTGGGATGAATGAGAAGAGATCTTCTCCTTCCTTTTTGTGACAAGCTTTCACATAAGCAAAAGTGGGGTAGGATTTATTCTGCATATGCTAATTTATATGTTTTGATGCAGATGTAGAAGTAATTAGCACAAATTGAATAGAAATGCAGTATATCTCATCACTGTGGGAAAGATGGATCAGGCGATCTTCTTCATGTCTGTCTGCTCAGGCTGCTCTCCAGGGGCTCAGCACCTGTGAGCACCTCACCTGCTCTCTCTCCTTAACTTTCATTGGCTTTAAAGTAGGTTTTGCCCGGCAGTCGATCACATGGAGAACAATTTCAAATAGAGGACTGACCTCTGTGAAGTAGGACCCCTGGATATCCTACATTTTGACCTGCTGGGGTACGGCAGAAGTTTGGGTTGACTGAATATTGCAGTGGCTATACGTGTCTTTGTGGGTATGACATTTTACAACACAAATGAAAAAGCTTTCATCTGAAAAGCAGAGCTGGGGAAGCGAGAGGATTGTGAGGAGTGAGGAAAGGGCAACAATACAGAAAATAAAAGACTTAAACTCTCCCCAAAAGTGGCTCTTGAGCTCCATTGGCAAACTGACAGGGCTCCAGGGTCACTATTTGTATGTGTTGGGACAAATGAAACAGCTTTTTAATTACCTCTCCATCGTCGCATTGAGTGCCACTTCTAGCTGATTAGCAAACATTGGGAAATCCGCAGATGCAACAGGCGGGTTAGTACAATGTAGAAGAAAAGATGTTTGTGTTGTGGCCCTTTAAAACATTGTTTTTTAACATCTTGCAGGCAATAATTTAAGTTCAGAAGAACAGGAATAAATATATTCTGATAGAATGATTTTGTTGAAATTGGTTCATGTTTGATTTTATTTTATTTTTGTAGGGAGGAATTTATTTATTTATTTAAAGTTTTTGTTTCCTGGCCTTTACAGTGTCTCAGGGCAGTGATAACAAAAATAAATAAGGCACAGTATCACAAATAATATATAAAATCAACAGCAAAAACAATACTAAAATTTAAAATACTGGGAAAATAAAAAGGATTTTGAGTGTATTTGCTTCATGCCTAAACCACCCAACAGCTGGAATTCTCTGGATGGTTCCCATCAGTTTTTAAAAACACAAAGCACAATACTCACTGGCTTTGGTGAAGGCCTTCCTTGTGTTAGACAGCCCGTTATGATAGGAGATGTAGTCTTCCATGTCTGAGATGTACCTGATTGAGAGAGGCAAGCTTATGCTACTGGTTAACTGGAGAGAGCATTTAGCTTAGACTTTTTCATGCTGGGTGTATATGCTTCATTCTCTTATTTAGAACCATCAACCTTAAATTTGCTTAACCTTTGGCTGAACCCCTCCAGAAGATGAATTTCATCCTCATGGCTGGCCCTGAACCATCGACTCACTTGCTTTGGGCAATGGTGATAGTTGGCAACTACTCTCCTGTTCCAGTCTGATGCCGCATTTGAACATAACTGTCCAAGTCCAAAAAGAGTGCTGAGCACCCCAAATCAGGACAGGAATTACTAAATTACTATAGGCATTGATTTCATTCAAACCCTTAGTTAGGCAAATTACACAGAATTGAGAGGGAGGGCAATTACTTGGCCTTTCAGTTGACCTAACTTAGTTTAAAAAAAAAAGTCACAGAGTCAAAGAGAAGGATGGGGGCTTTGCAAATTATCTTATCCAGCCGCTTGCAGGAAAAACTGTGCTTGAACCACCTCAACAGATATTGCAGAGCCTCTCCTGGACAGAGCCCCCCATCCATCTAGGTCTTTAGTGCCATTGTGGTGCTCTTTGGTATACTCCATTCCACTCCTAGGGACTCCTCCCCCTTCTGCAAATCCATGCCTCCTGCTGGGCCATTTCTTGGGAGGAACTTGATGGAGTCGATCTAAGGATGAAAGTGTTAGTAAAAGTAGGTGGAGCTTGGTGTGTGTAGAGATCTCTCCTTGCATGTAGCCATGGTGACTCTGCATGGTCCTGATCTAAAAACCGGTGCCCTGACTGCAGCAAGAGAAACATTGCACGGGTGAGCACCATCCTCTGCATGAGGCAATGATGCAGTTCCATGTCTGTCTGCACCATGTTCTTTCTGTACATATGTATGTATGCGTGCTTGTTTGTTTGTTTGTTCGTTTATAGCCCACCTTTTCTCCTACAAAGATTCTGGGGTAGGAAACATGGATCTCCTCCTCTCCACTTTATCCTCACAACTCCGTGAGGTAGGTTAAGCTGCAAGTCAGTGACTGCCCCAAAGTCACCCAGTGAGCTTAATAGCCAAGTGGGGACTACAGCCTAGGTGTCTCCAGTCTGTGCTGAACCCTTTGAGCACTGCACCTCACTTCTTTCAGAGCAAGCACTATAACTCAGGGCCATAGTCAGTGACAGAACACATGTTTTGCATGCTAAACTCTTGAGTTCAGTCCCTAATGTTTCCAGTTAAGGTGACATAGTGGGAAAAACCTCTGTGAGACCCTTGTTAAATTGTCCTCAGGTAGAGTAGCCAATAAGCGGCTAAAGCCCCCTCAGGGAGGGTGTTCAAGGATAGGCTGGACATGCACATGGTAGGCGTGATATGAGTAGGGCCGGCTGGAGCCAGGGGTCAGACTAGATGGCCCAGGAGGACCCTTCTGACTCTCTCTGTTTCTGTGTTTCTATTTTCTGATTGCCAGATCAACACACCTGGACAGTTGCAGGCATGGAATGGAGCCCCTCTAATTGTCATTTCCCACATAGAAATCAAGAAAGTGGTTTTGCCACCGGAGCATGCTATTCCCAGGGACATCAAATGTCCCAGATCCAAATGAGTGAAGAGCCAGTCGCCCATATACAGCAGCTCGTGTTTGAAAGTAAGAGAGGCGTGGTGCTGGCTGTGGGAAGCTTTCTGTTTCAGACGGAAAGAACCCTCAACTGGCTTCCCAGTCTGCACTCAGACGAGGGTGGGAGTCCAGGATCACATCATTGTTGCCCAGACGCAGATGCCGTAATGCAAACCAGTGAGGAAAACAGTTTGAGGTATGTTGTGCAAGAGGTGCAATTTGTGGCTAGCTCCAGTCTCATTAGTTCAAGATCGTCCTACCCAGAAAGCTACCAGGGATTGCTTGCAAGCATCCTTGAGATTCACACAGTGCAAAGGCAAACGGTTGCATCATTGTATGCATTACTCAAAGCAGCTTCCTCGTTCTCCCTCCCACATCATGGAATCAGGAACAAGGCACACAGCCTCCTGCTGTTCTGGCAGCAGTTCTTCTTCCTGCCCCCACGCCCAGCATCGCAACTTGCTGCTTTTGGCAAATGAGTCATGTAATTCAGGAATTCTTGGTGCCATATGGGAGAGTTATCCCATTTTATTAGTCCAGGGTGGGAAGCTATGGCCCTCCCTGTGATGTTGAACTTCATCTCCCATCAGTCTCGGCCAACATGGCCTGTGACCAGGGATGACGGGCATTGTCTTCTGGCAGCATCCATAGGTTAGGAGGACAACAGCTTCCTCCACTTTGTATTGTCAATGTGAAAAATGACGGCCAAGTAAAGAGTACACAGTGAGCCTCATGGGCTGATTCAGGATTTGAACCCCGGCTCCCCTGAAGCATGGGTCCAACACGCCATGCAAGGGGATGGTGCCTTGTCATCAGTCTAAGCATTCTGAATGGTTTGCATCCAACTGTGATATCCTGAATGTGCCATTATCAGTTCAGTAGGAGGACTTGAAGAGGGAAAGGGAACCCCATTTGAAAGCATGTCCACTAACAGGCCACATAATTTGATGCTTGAAGCTTGGTAAAACAGTGCAGGAGTTGCAGGGCCCTGGATGGCAGCTGCTCTTGTTTCTGGAGCGACCCTGGAGACTTCCCTGTATGCAGCCGGGCACCTTCCAGCAGTACTTAGCATTTAGATTGGGCTGAGCATCTTCAGAGCAATGAACCACTAAATGTTTTAAGGCACACTGCACGAATAGTAATGATTATTTCTCCCTAGGTAGTTAACTTCTGCATTATATCCTGGAAATATAAAAAAGAACCAGAGAACAGAACAGAAGAGGTGTGTGGGTGGGTGATGTTAATAAACCACTTAGAGATATTTTTTAGATGTGGTAAGTGGTTAAAATCTATTAAATAAAAATTTTAAAATGCAAAATTTGCAGCACAAGCCTCTGTGTTTACTCAGAAATGGCCCCACTGTTTTCCGTGAGACTTTACAGCAAGTGTGCAGGATCACAGCCTTAGAGAAAGGCCTGCTTCGGAAATCCCAGGCAAGAAAATTCCCCAGAGCTTACTCACCATGTGCAAAGGCTTATTTATGAACTATCAAAGTCTCCTACTTTTTTTTAATGTACCACAGTAATATTTGGGCACTCATTTTGCTTTTTCAACCTTACACAGTCCATTACAAGCGTTCTATTACAGTCACTCACCCATGTGCCTCCTGAAAAGCATCAGCCAACAAGAAACCGAGCAGCTGTAATTGAAACAATCCATCTTTTTTTGCAGCCCACTGCTTGTCTCTAGCCTCTTGTATGCCAAGATAGATGGCAAGCCAGATACTTGATAGAATGTTTCGTTCCATAGGGTTTTGAAGGCCACTTTCTGTTCTGCAAAAGAATGCACTGTCTGCCCGCACTCCATCAGGAGAGTTTGGTATGTGCATGCTATTGTTCCGGTTCTCCCTCTTGTGCTCTCCTCCCAGTGTTCTTGAAACCAAGCAAGGGTGGAAACATTGCTGCCAAAAGATTTATGAAAACACAGTGTGCCAAATATAAAAATACCTTTTCTGAGAGGCAGGTGACCCCCTAGAGCTGCTGCAGGAATTCTGGCATACATGATGCAGCTGCCTGGATGTGTGTGTGAAAGCTTCAGCTTTTTACAGATGCTGAGGCATGAGGTCAAACATAGCATGCAAAGTGGCCCTCAAGTAGACCTCAACAGGACCGCATTGCATTGGTTACTTTTTACCTATCCTTTTTGATGTCCCCCCTCATCTCCTGCTCCCAGCGTCTTTCCCACAACCCACAGTTGTCAATCGCTTGGTCTCTTGGCTTAAAACATAACAGTAAAAGTGCTTGGATCACATATCCTCTTGGCTAAGATGAGCATCAGATATGTCTGAAAACTGATGACATCATTTTGTTAGCACAAATGGAGTTGTCTTCCTGGCACAGTATTAATTCATTAATTATATACAGGCATGGGATGGAGTAGATCTCACTTCACCCTTGACCTGGAAACAATGGCTCCAGAATCTTAAGAGATGTACTGCCTTGTAAATTATTTGTTTAATTTTCAGTAGCATTCAATAAAATGGCTGACCATGCAGCATGACCTCTTTTCTCTGTAAGTCTCAGGGCGAAATAACATTGCATTAGTCAGGAAGTCAGAGATGCAATAGAGATGATATAATAGATGCCTGCATAAAGCTACACTGACATAGAAATTTTCTAAGAATCAAGCTATAATGATCAGTGAGGTTTGGATAGCTAATAATGGACTTTGATCCAGTTGTCTCTAACCTACTGTTGTATATTTTGCCTGATAGCAAGTCCTTCAGTTTTATTATTGAACGAGTTGCTAATTTTTAGACCTTTACACCACTGTTGGCTTTTATTCTGGTTCTGTTCTGCATTAAACATTGAAAGGCTGTATCTTAAGTTTTATCATGTTGTGTTTAGGGCTTGTATTTTTGTGAATGGCACAGAGAGCTTTGGCTTTGGGGCAGTGTGGAAAGGTAATCGGTCAACCTGAGGCAGAGGTGGCTGACCTTACATTACCACGTTATGCATCACTGTTCAGAAGCTCCAATGTCTTCAGTAGGACTTTCCCACATAAATGTATGTATGTTTATTTCATGATTTGTTACATTTATATCCCACCTTTTACTCTAAAGAGCCAGTGTGGTATAGTGGTTAAGAGCGTGGGACTGGGACTCAGGCGATCTGGGTTCTAGTCCCCGCTCAGCCATGGAGCCAACTGGGTGACTTTGGGCCAGTCACAGACTCTCAGCCCAACCTACCTCTTAGGGTTGATGTTTTGGGGATAAGATGGAGGAGAATGATGTAAGCTGCCTTGAGCAGGAAAAAGGCAGGATATAAATAAATAAATAAATAAATAGTTGGACTTGATCAAAGGTTTGCTGTAAGTTGTCTGGACAAAGGATAGTGGTTTGGGTCTAACCAAGGGACATGGAAAATCCAGAGACAAGCCAGAAATAAACTAGCACCTGCCACCTACTTGTTTTGACACTCACCAAGAGCCCTCTGATATCCATTGCCTTGCCTTGCATTGTAATCATAATCCAGCAACATGTATTTTTGCACTGAAAGATTTTGCAAAAAAAAAAAAAAAATGCAACAGCTATTTCCTTGAAAATGACAATGATACAGTATTTCTCGGTGCCGAAAAGCTCAATTCTCCCCCACACAACTGAACAGTTATAGAAGTCCTCTTAGTGCACAAATCTGCAGTCTCCTCACATTGTGTGAGCACTGAGGTCCTCTGATTCCAAAACTGGCCCCTGCCCAATATCCCTTCCCCTCAACCAGCATGGAAAGAATTGTGCTGACTATTCCTCACAGGAGGCAAGAGGGCTCCAAGCAGGGGAAAGGGGCTTGCCAGGGAGCAGGGAGGGGTTAGAGGGCCGGGGCTGTGGAACGTGGCCATTTTGAACTGGAGCTCCAGACCATTTGATCCTAAATCTAGATAGCTGAAAAGGCTGCCTGGAGAAAATGCAGGACATGAGACAGAGAGGCAGCAAAGATTGCAGCTGCCGTGCCTTGCAGCTGGCATGGGAAGCTCATAAACCTTCAAGTCTTCAGCAGGGGTGATAGGACTGTGCCCTTAATCTCCTTCTACTCCTAGCTGGATATATATGGATGACTCCTCCTCCTCCTCCTCCCTCTGTGCATATTAACATATTCTGGTTTCCCATTAGATTGTATATATTAGCAAATTCTTTGAGGAAAGTGGTTGTAGAGGATTAGCAATAATTTTGTCTGCAGTTTATTAAAACTATTAATCATAACCAAACTATATGTATGGGAACTATCCATTAGCACAAGCCTTAAAGGGGGTGTTTAGCAGCTAGGTGCTTTGTAGTCTCAAGGCTGGTTCATGGCAGATCATCAGCTATTTTGTTCTCTCAAAGGGGGTCTGGTTAGTGGCAGCAGAGGCCAAATTACTTAGGAAGGAAAAGGGGTACCGATAGAGCATGGCCTGAGCCTGAGGTTTCCATTGGAACCTGAACCGGGGAGCATGGCAGTATCAGGCCGGATCCAGCTTGTAGGGAATTGCCCAGCTCCAGCCAAAGCAGCAGGGTGGGGGGACGCTAAAAAAGCCAGCCAGAGCAGCAGTGGGCACTCACGAGGCCATCTGGCAATGGCTGTGAAAGCTCTTGGATTAGGCTGCCTGTTGCTCGTAGCAACACTGGAACCATGACATGAGGTGGGCCAGGAGCAGCTCTCACGGTTAGAAGCAACCTGGGAAAGAGCACTCTCCCAAAACCTCTGTGACTGGAAAGACTCAAGTTCAAATGCTCACTCAGCCAGGATGTTGCTGGCTGACCTTAGGTCGGACATATTTCTTGGCTTAATTTACCTCAAAAGGTTGTTGTGAAAATGAAAGGACTCTTGGTTGCTTCTCCCTTGGTTTGCCTCATGATTGTTCAGGTGCTCCACATGCCTGCACCCTCGTTTCTCAGGCCAGATGGTTTCATCAACTGTTCCAGCCATGCAACCTTGATTTGAAATACGAATGCCTCGGCATGGAACGCCCACTCACCAAATAGCGCTTGAGTTCTGGTTCCCACTAAAGAAAGGCCCTGTTTTGGAAAGGTATTAAATATGTTAACAGCATAGCACTTGCTACATGTGAATGTTTACAGGACTACTAATGTTTCTTGGGAGATCAAGTGCTGCTTGTCATCGGTTTGTTTGATCTGTGGAGCAGTAAGTAGAATACAGTCTTACATTTTCAAGCCAGGACATATGTTGCTGATACAGTAATACCCTTCTCAATTCCCTGTTACATCTCTGTGGTTAGGAACATGCTTGGTTTGGATAGAAGGGCTCTTTTCTCCTCCTTGGAAGCAAAACTTCTTTTCCACATAGCAAAATGTCTCTCAGTTTCATTTCCATAACAAGCTACTTGAAGATTATGGGAGTTGTGCAACGCATGCACAGGATGCCAGGTTGAAGAAGGTGGTGTTATAGAACAGCAGAACCCAGTGGTGGCTTCAGCGGGTTCCTTCTGTCAGTGAACTGGCCTCCCCCACCCCCCATGGTCCCCAGCTCCTCATGGCCTGTCACACATGCTTGCTTAACATGCAGAGAGCCAGTGAGCAGATCGTGGCCTCAGCAGTTCCTTCACCATCATGTCAGAGCCCAGCAAGAGGCAGGTGGACAAGCAAGACAGCAGTGATGAGGAAAGCTGCCTGCCTTTGACACTTGTCCTGGCAGAAGCTCTTCCAGGCCCTTTTTAAGAACCCTGCCATCCAAGTAATCAGGGTTCCTCATTTACTATAATGCTTATTTCTTAGTAAGCTTTATGCAGAGGGCAAGCAGAATACCTGATGCTTGCAAACCACGTGGGGACAGCCCCAGCCCCTATGGGAATCTCTGCTGGCCCAGTTGAGAAACCAGAAGCACAGTGGCCTAGGTGCAAATGGCTGGCAGCTGCACAAGGTCCTTGCTCTGAAGTGGTGCCGATTTCATTTGACACTGGCAGAGATAATCTGGAGGCAGCTGATGAGCAGGGAGTCAGCACCAAGGGGCTCACAAACTAGGCCGCAAACACTGCAGCTAGGCTGGAGCCCTTGCTGCTGGGGCAAAGCACTAGCCCAGAGACAAATGTTTTATACCCACTTCCTGTCCAGGACAAGGCAGGGAGGACCACAAGCTCTACTGTGAATAGGGAGGTCATCATCACAGCAGCAACCGGAACCAAAGTTCCCCCTGTGTGGCCGTGCCTAACAAGGAGCATCCACACCTGCGAGCAATTTAGTAGTGCAGCACTAATGTGTGCGCGGGGGAGGCCGTTGGCCAGGTGGGTCAGATCTCTTTGCAGTGTTTCAGCAGGAAGGCTTTTTAAAGCTCTTCTGAATAGGAACTGCATTTTAGGAGAGACGTTCACAACGGAAACAGGAGACGCTCTGCAAACACTGCAGCCGAGGCATCAGCCTGGCCGCCCTGTGCAGTTGGCTTATGGAACGTGGATAAGCCAGCCAGCCCCTCTGACCTCTTCGTGTTACGGCTCATGCCACTTTGTGAGTGGAATGGGGGGACATGAGTGTGAGGAGTACTTACTACATAGCATTTCTACCTTGCCCTTTTTCCTTGTGCAAGGAACCCAGAGGGGTTTACAAGGGTCTCTTCCTCTTAATTTTATCCTGTTATCAGGTTAGGCTGAGAGGCAGCGACTGGTTGAAAGCCACTCAGTGGGCTGCAGGGCTGAGCGGGGACTAGAACTGGATGTCCTGAGTTCCAGTCCAGCACTCCACCATTACTCTGTCAACAGCCAGTGTCAGAACAACTTCCTTCCCGCAGCAACCCCAAAACTGTATTAAATATGTGTGTACAAGCATGGAAGTGCGCGCGCGCATATGTAAGCATACCTGCATAAGTGGTCCCTGGTCCCCCAGCTGACAGCGAGGGTTTGACTTAAAAGACCTTTCAGCCTCATATGCAGTGACCGGCCACTGCACTGCGTGATCATGGGGTTGATTACATTTAGCAGATTTTGGGCTTTGCAATCCAGTGTGCCTGCCAGCAACCCTCCAAACTCGTAAGATTTCAGGCAGTCAATGGAGGGCAGGAGGAGCATGCCCTCCTGCCCTCCATGCAGGGCAGTTTGCCTCCATGGTCCCTTGCCTTTGATGGCCATCCAAGGGCTTTGATGAAACACTTTGATGGCCATCCAAGGACTTCCCGCATGCTCGTGAGGAGGACAGGCTGAGGTCCTGCTTGGGGAGCTGAGGAGCCTCACCCCTGTCCTTCCTAGGAACAGTTTCAAAGTTGGAAGACCAACCGCCAGAACCACACTTGCTGCGGAGGGGACGGGAGGGCCTCTGAGTGCTTTTCCAAGGTCAGAGCTGGGACTTTGAGTCTTCCTATGGCCATCTAGCCACAGGATTGTGCTTTTAGCTTGCATTCCTTGCAAAAGTGGTGGATCCCTCCTTTTTTCAAGTCCTTTGATGTTGGCTCTAATTAATTGTTTTCCATAGTCGATGCAGTCATTTGCTGCAAGTCCTGTAATGTGCTCCGTCTTGAATGTCAGGCTCAGCTCTCAATTAGTTACCCAAAATTGGCAGTTGCTTTTGAAGTCTTTGCTAGTAGAGTTCTAAATTTCTACTTGCCAAAGCGGCTTCTGATGCTTCATCCGCTGCCTCCTTGCCGTCTTGGGTTCCTAGCAAGAGGGAAAAAAAAGATAGGTTGTAAATGTAATAATGGTTGTGGTGGTGGTGATGGTAGAATGGTATACAAATTTAAACAGAATAAAGGCTGACAACTCCCAACATGCTCTTGGTGCTGGTGAGGAATGCTGGGAGTGGTAGGCTTTTTTCTATCTAAATTGCCCTGGATTGTGCCCCAAGTCTCCTTCAGTGTCATGACTGCACTGCCAGAAGCACTTGGGTTGCTCAGTTGCCAAGAGAAGGTGCTTCAGAAATAGCTCTAGGCTTCACGTTTTCTGCACAAAGCCATCTCCCTAGAGGATGCTTGCTTTCTTACTTGCTGCCTGAAGCCAGACACTGGTTTTGGATTTCTGGCCACATTACAGAAAGTACGGTTGCTACTGACATGTAAATTTGAAACCTTTTTTTCCTTTAACAAAATGAATCTGAAGACTATGAAAAGCTTCTTAAAAAGGAGAAGAAGGAGAAGTGCAGTTTTTTAAACTAGGCATGCTGCTTACCAAAGTTAGATGAATGATCAGACTAGGGTAATGTGTAGCTTATGCCGCAATAGATAATATGCCACCAAACTGCCTGTGACATGTATGTGCACTGCTCCATTGTCAGTGGGGTGGTGTATCCACGCTGGATCTGAGTCTGAGCTTTAAGGGAGCTTTCCTGTGGTGCTGAACCCAGTAAGAGTTCAGTACTGTGGACGGCTCCTTAAAAGACTAAACACCATGTGGATACACTGGCCCACTGACATTGGAGCCATGAGTCTCCACTGTGTGTGTGTGTGTGTGTTTTTCTTTCCTCCTGGGATACATCTCTAGACCAGAACTGTGTGCCACTGAATTTTGAAGAGATAAAGATGCTAAGCGGGTACATTGAAATTGATGGCACAGGGCAGCTAATCTTACACTGGCTACTGAGATTGGAGTCTGTTGTTTGGTGGCAAAGCATAGGCTATGCATGAAGAAGGTGTACATGAGAATGAATTAATTCATGTGCTTAAAAACATCTTTCCATTAGATTTTGGTTCACTGAGCCTTAGTTATAGCCAGTTGACGTGTATTAGCATTACATAAAGCTGAGTCATTGCTTTTAGTTTAGCTCCGGAAAGTCTGAAGCAGACGTTGCATCATCACGATCCCGGTTCAGCCTCCTGAGTCAGGGAATGACCCTCCAAGCATCACCCCCAGTGTGCCCTTCTGATAGGGGTTGCCCAGAAACAGAGACAAGGAATGAATTCAATGTATGTGGCCAGTATGTCCGCAAGTTAGGTGGATCCAAATCACTCAAGCAAAGGAATCAAGCCACACAGTAGGAGCTACGTCCAGAAAGCAGGCAGAATTCGTCCTTGTTAGAGAGCCTGTGTTTATGCTCCCAGCGTTTTGATTTTGAACTGTGGGCTTTAGTATAGAGTGTGGGGGTTTCATAACTTTTAAAAAAAATTCTTTTAAATTATTACATTGATCCTGCTAATCACCCCCCTCTGATTGGTTATTATTGCAACCTAATTTGGGTTGTCAGATACTGAAATGGTACGAAGTAGTTCATTTAATGAAATAAATTGTTCAATTATATGACTGTACATTTAATAAGTCCATAAAGTGTTATTTGTTTTGTAATCCACCCATCCTTTTATCATAGCAATAAATAGTTATGGAATCACAGCAGGAAAATACTCTGCTGAATTAGAAGCGCCTGGAAGAGTCTTACTTGAGCCTACATTTTTGCACTCTGAGGTGCAGGTCTACAGGAGATCACAGTAGTACCTAATTGAAGCCAGGCATCTCAGCAAGGGGTGGATGAATCAGTTGGATTTGCTGTCTTCTGCATTCAGATTCTTTTCTCAAGTTCTTTTGCTCCCAGATAGGAAGACATACACAAATGTTGGTACATTCTTATTAAAAACAGTCTGAAATGGAACTCTGAGTCATCTGCCCTGGTCAGATTTGGTATGTGCTCTCAGCACTGAGAGGATCAAGTTGTTCCTGCCTGCTGCAGAGTTGTGAAAGCTGAAGAGCCTAATAGAAAAAGAAGAGGTGGCAGTTCTAATTCACCATCACAAACATGGTCTAATTTGGAGGGATTCAAATCCAGAATTTTAAGAGGAATGAATGCAAAGCCTTGGGCATAGGTGGGCAAATTCGTTTGTTTCAGTGTCTCCCGCATTCATATTTGTTAAAAAAAATCAAGTTCTACCAATTTCAGAAAGGGAGAATTTGCAATTTTGGTAAACTCTTATCAAAAGAAAACTGGAACATAATTCTTGTCTATTCTTAATTCCAGCAACTCTGACAACATCCACTGTACTCCACGATCATGTTACTTCATTCATTGCAGGATCTTCATGCACAAAGAGTGAGGTATAGGAGAGCACTGTGCATGCACCTATCCAAGCTTCCCTGACGCTGTGCTTATGAGATTTCCATCAAAACTTGAGGTGGGGGAGCTCCCCAAGACAAGGGTTTGCCTCCCACTCTGGAAGCAGTATTTTCATGAAGACAAATCATTGAACACAGCATGTTAGCATTGCTGGCTTTATTTGTGAGTCGGTATTGAGCAGGACAACTGGAAGAGCACCCCATGCAGAACAAAAATGAAATCTACAGCAGCAAAGTCATGGCAATCAAGACCGGGTTTGGATTAGCTCAGTGGGAAGGAGCAGTGCAATGGAAAACAAGGCTGGGGATGCACGAGCATCTCGTGGTTTGACGCCAAATGGGGCGAGATTTTTTGAAAAACAGACACAGCTCTTAATAGCCGGAATCCTCCACTCTGTTGTGGGGTGGGCTGAGCAGGGGAAGAGGGGACAGTTGTCTGGCAGAGTCTATGCTTTCAATAGGAATGCTTCATTTATGCAACCTTTTGTTACAAGCATCATGTTAGACCATTGTAGAGAAGGGATGGATGGATGTAGAGCGAGCCTAAGAGTCTTCCTAAACACACCTCCTTTCTCCGCTCATTTTTAACCATTTACATCGGTGGTGTTACACCAGTTCTACTGTTAAAGGCAGCTTAAAATGGCTTGGGACCAGGATACCTGAAGGAACGTCTCCTTCCCTATATGCCCTCGTGCCCCCTAAGATCTGTAGGAGAGGCCCTGCTCCAGGAACCCTCCCAGGAGGTAAAGAGGGGTGTGTACTCGGAGGAGGGCCTTCTCTGTGGCGGCGCCCAGACTGTGCAATGCGCTTCTCAGAGAGGTTTGCCTGACGCCGACTTTATATACTTTTTGGCACCAGGTAAAACCTTTTTATTTACCCATTATTTTAAGAGTTAAGGAATTTTAACTGGTTTTAGTATTTACAGTCGCATTTTGCTTCTGTTGGTACTATGTATGTTATTTACTTATTGTTCTGTTTATTTATTGTTCTAATTATTGCAAGCCATCCTGGAACGATTTTCGTATAGGACAGGGTAGAAATATTTTAAACCAACCAACCAATGAACCCACTATCCATCCATCCATCCATAATGATTTGCCAGTGGTAGCCACCTATGACTACAAGGATATTGCCACAAAGCCTTTATCTTGCCCACCACCTCTTTGCACTTGCATTACTGTGTGACCTGCATGCATGGCAGTAATTCAAGTTCAGATCACATTGTAGAGAGATAATATCGCTGAGTGTCTCTACTTTGCGGCTGATCATCTTCTTTCTGTGTGGGCTACTCCTATACATTTTATTTTGGGGTGTCAGAGGGAAGGAAGAGATTTTGAGGGCACATGAATCGATGGTATCAGCATATCTATTTCTGAAAGACCACCCCTGCATTGTTATTCCCTGTAAGTCCAGGAGAAGCAAGCTGTAAGGAACAGCATAGCCTTTGTTTGCCAGCTGACCTTTCAAGAGAATAACGAGGCCTATTTCCCAAGGTGACATTCACGTTCTAAATCAAAGATCCACAAACTTTCTTCTGATGGGCTCTGGGAAAAAATCATCAAGGGAAAGCAGTTTTTATTACTTGTCTCATCTCGCCTCCTTTTTATGTAGGCACCTTGACAGTCAATCTTGCTCAGATAACTGCTTTTGAAGTATGCAAGACCAGATTTTCCACTCCCATCGCATTGCTCAGTTGGTGTGCTGAGCCATGTGTGCACCACTTGGGATCAAGATGCAGCAGGGCCGCTGTGGGATCTCAAAGGAGTCAGAGCCTTTGGGTCAGGTGAGCTAAAACCTAAGAAAGGGGTCAGGTGAGAAAATGAAGCAAGCCACAGTTAAATGAAGCAAGGCTGAGCAGTTTCGTTCAGCCATCTAGTTTAATATCTCCTGTAAGAAAAACAGTAAAGCTGTTCACAGAAGAATTGGAAAATATACTAGAACAAAAATAAGAACGGGTTTTAAAATGATAGAGCGGTTCTAGCAAGAAAATGACAGCAGTACAAAATTAGACATTTGAACAGGCGGCACTCAGAAGTTTGAATGGCAGATAATACATGAGTAATGATTTTCCTGCATTGGTACAAGGTTGGTCTAAATGATCTCTGGCGACCTTTCAAAATGTATGATCCAATGCACAGGCAGGCAGAAGCTACTGGAATCGCTAATACGTGGGTGTCCTTATCTCCTTCAAGCCCGTGTATTGGCAGGGACCAGGCTGAGTTAGTAGGTCAAGAAGAGGATGTGTAAATCCACCCTGCTCCTTAAAATTGCACTTATTTCTGGGTGAGGGGTGCTTTTGTTCCCCGGTGGTTAGACTGCTAGGAGGTTTCTAGAATATCCTTCCTCAAGTATTCTTCCTTCATACTTACAACATGTTAACAGTGCGTGCTGCGGCGTGATGCTTGATGCTTAAAACAGCTGGGATCGCACGGCATGTGTCTTTTGCCACATTTGCTTTAGCTGCCAGTAGGACACTGAATTGGATTTAAGTTTTGCATTGCACTCTGAACTGGATAGGTGAATGAATGCTGACATGAAAGCCATGTATCTTACTCCTCAGAGGGCAGTCCTCTGTTTGAAAGGATGCCCTGTCCAGGTCTAGCTGAAAGTGAAGGAGCTATGAGAAGGGAGAGCAGGGTGCAGACCTCAAAATGGCTCATGCAGCGTTAGCCCCTGTGCAGTAGATTGAGAAGGAACCAGTCGCCTGGTCGCAGCATTCCCCAAAAGGATGAGATCAATTGTAACTCTTTTTAAATAATAGTAATAATTTCTAAATTTGCAGCAATATGTATAAGCTAGCACATGGAAAATTGTGTCCTCCTCTCCTCTCCTCTTTCATTGTGTGTGCACATGCGTGCGCTTTACTTTATATGTATAGCCACCAATTTAGATAGCTTCTCTAATTTAATGCCTGCTCTCCCTTCAAATGCTTTGATAGCTTTTCAGCAGATAAGGCAGTATGTAAATGTTCATAATAAACGCACAAATAAGCACGGCCCTTATCTTTAAAGCGGGCTCGGACTGGACAGAGATTGTAAAGTAGGTCACGCTTGGCCGTCAACATTTAATAGTACTACAAATGAGTGTTGAAATGGCTCTTTAGGGAGTTCAAGCACTTCATATAGCTTATTGCATTGCAATCTTTAAAGCAACCCATCAGGTAGCGCAGTATTGTTATCTGTAGATGGGAGATCTAGGGCTGTGAGGCTAAAGCCAGCTTGCCAAAGCCATGGACTGAGGTAATGCCAGAGAAGCGGGGCGAACGCAGGGGCCTCCCGATTGTAGGCCAAGCTCTTAACCACAACATTGCACCAGCCCTGGTGACACAGAGGAGACCCTTTGGGTTGGTCCCCAGAAATATGGATTAAGCTCAGCTGCAGCTGTGTTGACATTTGCGGTGACTCTGTTTGGTTAATTTGACCCAGTTTTCATAATACTTTGTTATGGCCACCTGAAAGCACTTTTAGCCCTAATTGTTATGAACTCTGTTGAAAAGAATACACCCAGTCCCCCAGTTACAAACGTTCCAGTCACCCTACTTACTAACAAGCACACCTGGATGTCCCACCTTGTCCTCAAGTGGCAAGTGGGCACCAGGCAACAAGGAGAGGGAGGAAGGAAGTAGGAGGGGAAGAATAGGATGGTAGGAAGGAGGGAAAGGGAAGAGGAGGGAAAAAGCAGAAAGCAGCAAAGTTGGAACTAGTTTTGCATTGGAACTACAGTAGTTTGTCATGATCATGAAAAATTAGCACATCCAAGCCAGTGTGTTTCGGATTTCATGGCATTAGTGTTGTCTTCTGTAAATTTGTACTGCATTTGCTTTGTAACCATGCTTCCAAAGCATAAACCTGATGCAAATGCAGGTGATACATTGAAGAAAAGAAAAATAATCACAATTGAAATTAAAGTGGAAATAATAAAGCAACCAGGGAAAAGTAAGATGCCATCCGTCATTGGGAAAGGCTTTAGTCGTTCAACAATTGGATCCTCTTTCTCTTCAGTACCTGTAGTTACTTTATTATCACTGTATTATCATTCTTACAATGCTGTATTGTGTTTAAGATGTTTTAGCATATACAGAAGTGTTTCTTAAGTGTTTTATATATGTGATACGACTTACATTCAAATTCAGCTTAACAGTGATCTCAGGAACAGACCTCGTTCTTAACCCGGGGCCAGGAGTATCTAGGTGGTTAGAACTTGGTAGCATTTTTTTCCCAAAAATATCCAGGTTGTTTTATCTAGAGCAGGAAACTTGTTGGAGAGCCGATGTTGCTGGACCTCCAAGCCCATCCTTTCTCTTTCAAAGAGAACAACATGGGAGGGAGGCAGATTCAACAAAATGAAGCAATTTATGTGTGTGTGTGCATGTGTGTGTGTGCGCGCGCGTGCATGTCTTCCAAGGGAAAATTAGTCCTCCGCATCCAGTTGCTCCAAGCATTATTTCCCATGACATTTCTTACTCTGGCCCCAGACCAGCTGAAATTAAATCCAAGAAGTTTCATTTCAATGGTAATCTTTCACGGGAAGGTAATCCCCTTTTGTTAGCTGTTTCAGCCTGAAACTCAGAGTGTTCTTTTGGAGAATTCTGCTTATATATATCCTGTGCAACACACATAAAGGAGCAGAGTGTTTTATTGGCAACACTTTTTCAACCACTTGTTGCGCATTTATGGTTTTGACCAGAATGTTGAATGTGAAACCTTTTCAGTCCCTTGGGCTTCCCTAAAAATTGCATGCCTAAAATCAATATCTGTGTCAGGACTATTCAAGCTTGAAATAGTAGAAAGTATCAGATGTGTGAATGAAGAAAAAGAAAGTTTAAGGAAGGTACACCCTCCCCTCACTCCAGTTTAAATGCTGTTTTGAGTCACCTAGGTTGGTTTACTTGTGGTAAATACTTGTGGTTATCAATGAAACAGCTCAGAAACTAGGGAAAATAGTTTATTTTGTATGATACTTACCAGTGGCTTATGAAAATGAGAAGCTCAAAGATGAGGAGCAAGTGGAGTTTCCCTTTATTTTTACCATGAGATAGGGATGGGAGTTCCAAAAGTCACTGAAATACTTCAGACTTCACTTTGAAATTCGGATCTTCTAACTCCCATTTGCCATCTGGCTGTTGTTCATTCAAATAGGGGAAATTCATCTCTGTCCATGTTTTTCAAAACTGTGCACTTCCCCCACCGACTAAACCATGCCAATGTATTTTAAAAGAAAAAATATGCTAATTTCAAAGTGCACATTAAAAATACGCATTTTTCCCAAAAGCGAACACAAATTCAGGAATGTGTGAACATTTTTAGAAAAATGTGGTAGTCACATTCAGGGTTGTGTATGGGATATGCTGATATAATTTACGGAATGAAACCAAATTCTTACACATCCCTGCTGCAAGGACTTGGGGAAGAATAAGCCAAAAGAACCAGGGGAAATGAGCAAGGAGCAAAAGTCCTCCTGCCATGGGAGGGCAGGCCATAGCTTATTATCTTATATTTCATGGCTTCGTCAAGCTAGCCATGAGGGGATGGACTGGGGAGCAGTGAATGCGTTCTGGTGTGGTCCCGCCTGCCCCTTGGCTTCATGGCACCTCAACGGTGGGGTGCCACGGGGTCCTTCCGTATGTCATTTAATGCTTACATGAAGCCATTAAGAGGGGTCATCAGAAGATCTGGGGATCGGTTTCACCAGTAACGCTCTGTTCTGTTTCCTGGTGAGATCTGAATTGGGAGACATCATGTGTTGCTACTGTGGGGACAAGCAGGGCTGCTTGCTGTAAGGTGTGAATCCACCCAGTGAGAATTATTTGCAAGCAAGGATGTGTAGGTTGGCCCTGAAAAAATCAGTAGTAAGGGAACGTGCTTCCTTTTTGTTCTCTAGAAGTAATCATCTGTGCACAGCCCCCTTTCATGCTGAGCCACTGAGAAGGGTCTTCACAGAGGTGGCAAGGAAGATGTCCTGATCTGCAGTCTTAGACCTACCTTTTAACAAAGGGTGGAATGCTCTGCACCGGACAGCACAGCCCTGTGCTGCTAGACATCGCACAGACAGCCATGGCATTTTTCAGATTCCCAGCTGTGAGTTTGGAAAATTACTCCAGCCTTGAAGCTGGGGGTCTGCCCTTGGATCTCCCTCCCCTGTCTTGGAGCTGGCATGGAAAGAACAGCGCTGGCTGCTTCTCTGAGGCTGTCAGAGTGACCTTGGAGAAGGGCTTTTTTGGGGGGGCGGAGGGGGGACTGGGACTGCTAAAATGCAACTCATTCTGGTAGCAAGTCGGCCTTCTTCCCTCCTGCTTAGGTGGGAAGCACTGCACTGAAGCAGGCGAACTGCTTTGCAGAGCAAGAGTGGAAAAACCATGTCCATTTCCATGCTTCTCACGTTCTGCATAGGATGCCCATACTCTTCTTACTGCAGAGGGTTATGGGTATCTCCATAGGATTGTTGCCTGAGACAAATTGCTACACACTTGTAACATTTCATGCATCTCACAAAGTGGGCAGCGTCCCTGAAAGGTTAAGGCATTGGTTAGTCTTTAAAGTGCCACAGGACTGTTAGTTTTGCTGCAAAAGACTCATATGGCTACACCTCTGGAAAATAAGACATTCTAAGCATCCTCTCCCATCTTAGTATTATAATATTTTTGTAATGGAAAATTACATCTCAAAAGTAACTAAAACTCGTGAGTGAAATCCAATTGGTTTTCATAGCTAATATAATTATGTTTCCATTTAAGAAATTAAGTGCCAGCAAAGCCTAAAGCAAGTTCTTTAATCAGAAAATTGGTGACTAATTGTA